GCCTTTCCTCCCCCTCAGCCGGCCCGGGCCTGGCCTCTGGGGTTCCCGGCCTCACAGGAGAGATTCGCCACCGGAAGTCTTCCTCAACGCTTGGGCCTCCGCGTTGGGGTGCCCAGCTTCGCCGGCGGCTCCTTCGCCCGGCGTGCTGGTCCGGACCGACCCCCACAGGGGTCGGTGGACCTGGTCCGTCGTCAGGCTGCTCTATGGCAAGGAGTATCACACCATTTTGATGGAGAGGCTGAGGCCGACGCCTCGGAGCTCGGGGGGGTTTGGCACGGAGCTTCGGGGAGAAGGAATGGGAGGCCTAGGCGATTCAAGACAGCCGCCCACTCATGTTGTTGAATTTGCAAGGTGTTCCGAGAGGTTGGTAGATGAATGAAGAGATCTCACACATTTTCCTGATCTTCATTCATCAGGCGGTGCCCAAGGCCTCCACCGGGGCACCTTGGATCTCGTACGCGAGAGCGCCTCCGAGGCGTTTGCTGCCCTCGGTGCTTCGAGATCTCAGGCGCCAGCGCAAGGCGGGTTGAAAGGAGTGGAAGGCCGCGGAAGAACAGGGGCCGGTCTGCGGGGTTGTTTAAGGCTTGCCCAAAACCGGTTCACAACCAGATATTAGGACTAATTACACATGACATAGTGGAGCAGTAGGTCACCTTCACAAATATAAGTCTTCTGGATTTTCCACCCTTCTGAGAAGTTTCATCCGCTTGTGGGACAAGACTGATTTGTTTGGAGTCAGTTTTCACGAGTTTTCCCACTTCCGCATGACAAGACGTCCATGCGCTTCACACCCGTTTTCACCGCCTCAGGCCCCGGACGACTCCTCCGTACGCCTGCTGTCGAGCCCCGCCGAGCGTTGGATGGAGGCGAGCGCTCCGAGTGCCGTACCGAAGCGGCCGAGTCCGAACGAGTCAGCTCACACGGCTCGCACGCATCTCGGCCAGTTTCGGGGAAGTTCAGAGGAGTGGGAGTTGGGCGCACCCTTTTCCAGCAGGGCTACACCAAGACCAGGTCCGGGCGCAGTGAAGGGGTTCTGAAAAAGAACATCTCCACCTCAGCGGCGATAGGGTTTCGATCTCCGCGACGTCGCAGCGCTGTTGGAGCTCCTCGGTGGTGATCTCGCTGCTCCTGGGCCTGGCAGCGCCCGGTAGCCTCTTCGTTCGGGGCCCAGGCACTCACCGAAAAAGTGAGTTTGGGAGACAAGTCGTTTTTGAACGAGCAAGCGGTCAAGCTTGTGTGGTTTTAGGTTGAAAGAATGGAACCAGTTTACTGATGCGTCGTGAAGAAAGCCAAAGAGAGGATGCCAAAGATGAACATGCATGCCAGCAGCCGTGATTGCTCGACCGCCTTTTTCTTTTCTACCTTAGCTGTCCGATGGCTCAGCCTGAAGCGCAGAAGCAGCCATCTTGGTGGCAGAGGATCTTTACCACAGCCCCACGGGGTCAATATGCAGTGGATGAGAAGCAGCAGGTGGTGAA